AAGGTGGCTCTCAACTCGGGACATCACCCCCAGACCAATGGACAGTGTGAGCGGATGAACCAGGAGCTGGGTGCCATGCTGCACTGTGTCTGCTCGTCTCATCCATCCTCCTGGAGTACTCACCTTCCTTGGGTTGAATATGCACACAATAGCCATATATCCTCCGCCACAGGTCAGTCACCTTTTGAGTCATCTCTCGGATTTTCCACTTCACTTTTTCCACAGCAAACGTCTGTTTCCTCCGTACCTCAATTCCTCCGTGGTGCCAGGCGTGCCTGGGCCTCCACCAGGGCAGCACTGGACCGAACGGCTCTCAGGAAAAAACAGTTGGCAGACCGCCGGCGGCGTCCGGCTCCGGTTTACACACCTGGACAGAGGGTCTGGCTTTCTTCTAAGGACATCCCTTTAAAGGCTTCATCCCGCAAGTTATCTCCTCACTTCATTGGCCCCTTCAAGGTTTGGGATGTACCCTCTCCCACTATGGTTCGTCTGGACCTTCCCCTCTCCCTGCGTGTGCATCCGGTTTTTCATGTGTCGCTGGTCAAGCCTGTGGTCTCCAGTCCTCTGTCCTGCTCCAGCTCCTCCTCCTCCTGCTCGACTATACAAGGGTGGTCTGGTCTACACGGTCAACAAGATCCTGGCCTCTCGTTGTCGGGGCAGAGGAGTCCAGTACCTCGTCGACTGGGAGGGCTACGGTCCCAAAGAGCGGTCATGGGTGCCGCGTTCGTTCATTGAGGACCCATCCGGGAGTTCGAGGCTGCCTCAGCTGGGACGCCAGGGGGTGTCCGTTGGGGGGTGGGGGTGGGGTGGGGTGGGGGGTGGGGGGTACTGTCATGAGCCGGGGTGAGTACTTTTCTTATCTTCTCACGATTTCTGAGTGCTTGGTTTCAGGAGAGGGAGCAACAGCTGTTTCTAATCAGCTGATCAGCGGGCCGTTTTATAAGGAAGAAGGTGGACATGACTCAACGGCGGATGATTGCCACTGACTGGTAGTTTCTAGCCCTTGCTTATCTCTAGCTCTAGTTTCTCTAGTGTGTTTTTCTCTCGTGACTTGGATTGATACTTTTTATGGATTTACTCACCTCAGGTCTGGATTACCATCAAGATTTTTCCAGACGCCGTTTTGGATTATTCTCTGGTTCGTCTCCTGGTTCACCCTCCTCCAAGTGCCGACCCGATCTCCTCCACCTCTCGCTCCCTCTCCAGAACCACCCTGGTCCGGATCCAATTTCACCATTCACCTCAACCGCTCTACATTCATTCCCTGGACTTACCCCGGCTCATCCCTCCCACACACGTCTCGTCTCTCTAAGCCGTAAGTCCCTCCGTCCACAATTCCCCTGCCATACTACTACTTCCATAATCACCCCTGTTCCTCCCCCCTCTAGACGCTGCTTCCCGTTTCTGCACCCGCTGGTTTTCCAGTGCGCTCTTAGTTCATCGTTTTGTCAATAAATATTATTATTTTTTCAAACAACCCGACTCTGACTCTGATTCTGCATGTCCTGGGTTAGACTCTTGCCCCACAACATGACACTTCTGTTCATTAATTCTGTGTATTTAGTCAGCTTGCATCACAGAAAAAGGAGTTGTTCTTTACCTTGTTTTGCTAACGTTTCAGCTAATTACTATAGCCATCGTCGGAGTTGTGCTGATGTTAGAAGAATAAGAAGACGGGCTTTAATATTGCGCATCTCAAGATAAAAATCATGAGGTGCTTCACAAACACAAAAAATAAATAATAATAATTAAAGTATAAAAATATTTGAAAAATGATTAAAAATATGTTTAAAAGGAGAAAAGAAAAAAATGTGAGGAAAGGGAGAGAGAAAATGAATAGGAAAGAGGGAAATCAGTTGATCTCGGGAAAGGCAGAAAAAGAGCAGGAAGAGGAGAGGGTGGTGATGAAGGTCACACCAAAACCAGCTTGAACAAGTGAGTTTTCAGCTGCTTTTTAAAGGAGACCACTGAGTCCACTGATCTCAGGCTCAGGGGGAGAGAGTTCCAGAGTCTGGGGGCCACAGCAGCAAATGATCTGTCACCTTTGGTCTTTAGCCTGGTGCTGCACAACCAGTAGGCTTTGATCACTGGACCTCAGGGACCTGCTGGGGGTATAGGGACTAAGAAGCTCACCAATGTAAGATGGTGCTTGTCCATGTAAGGCCCTATAGACCAGAACCAGGATCTTGAAATGAACCCTGAAGTTGACTGGCAGCCAGTGAAGCTGGAGGAGAAGCGGGGTGATGTGGGTGTGTTTGGAGGACTTGGTCAGAAGCCGAGCACAGGCATTCTGAACCACCTGTAGACGGTTCAGCGAAGGTTTTGCTCAGACACGAGAAAAGAGAGTCACAGTAGTCTAAGCGTGAGGAGATGAAGGTGTGGGTGACTGTCTCAAGTTCAGAGCGGGGCAGAATGGGACTCAGCTTTGCAGTGTTCCGGAGGTGGAAGAAGGAAGAACGAACAAGAGAACTGACATGAGAATCCAGGGTGAGAGCTGGGTCAAAGGTCATACCAACGAGTCCTCAGGGTTTGGTGTGAGATGCAAGCTGACCAAGAGAGTCTCTGACTTTGGGAACCAGCTTGTCTTGGCCACAGATGAAGATCTCAGTCTTATCTTCATTCAGCTGTAGAAAATTCTCATCCATCCATGTTTTAATAGTGTAGCGGGATGAATTGTCCATTTCTGACCTAAAAGGCCCTGCTCTGTTTTGCTCTGCTCAAAGCAAAACCAGAAGTTCTGACACAAACCTAGGCCGTGTTCGAGTTGAGCTGTGCCTCGCCTGGAAAACAGACGAGAGCAGACGGAAGCAGCAGGGGGAGTGGCTGAAAGCCGGCGTTTAAGTCGGACAGATTTCCCTACATGTGTAGCTCGGGGGTGACGATGGATGAAGATATCGCATTAGAGTTCATACTTGTTTAATGTTTTATTTTAATTCTGGTGCGTGTTAGCAGCTGAAACACATCCTCATGTGCTTGTGGATATCATATATTTTATATGGAGACCTAACTGTAATAATAAGTAAAGGTTATCAGCTGTAGGTTTAATGTGTTCATAGGAAACGTGACAAAAGAACACAAAACACATTTCTCTTTATTGTTGTCATCATCAACATAACATGATTTACAGAATACACGTGTCCAACTAACATTTCATGTTCTACCACCGGATGTTTGGATCAAAATATGAACCAATCAGAACTTAGATCAGGTGAGAGCCAGGCGTTTCCTGTTGGGTATTTTAATTTATCTACTATTGTTCTTATATTACCTCAAAGAAAGTCAGAACACACACACAGAGGGATTAGATTCTTAACCTGAACGCTGGCAGTATTAGAGTACAGCTATATTGTAGCATGTGCTGACCCCTGTACTCCACTGAAAATGCCCAGAATGGGTGTATAAATGTCAAAACAATGCCACAGAGTTTTGGAAAAAGCCAGCTTTGACTTTTAAAATATAATTTAGACCGATATATATGCCCCAGAGAGGGAATGAGATGGTATTTTTAGCAGAGATGTTTCAAAAAGCGAGATGTCTGATTTTGATAAACGTGTTTTCTTTTTGAATAAATACAACTGAGACCTGTGTATGTCCATTTGTTGACTTGGTATTCTCTGGTGATTGTAACATTTTCTAGTGTAACAATGCAATCTTAATGTAGCATTAAAGATAATAAATAATCCATGTTTCTACCCAAATCCTTCAGCCCTTCCTATCAGTGGGATGTGAAGTTGAGTCAGTGGAAATCTCCACCACCCAAGTTGTAGGATTTAAAAGACCAGCTGGTGATATTTATTGGCTGGTATCCCTGGAGATATTTCTTGGTGATTTAGTAAATTTAACAAACTGAATAGGTGAGTGTGGGTATAAACAGTTCAGCAGACACGGTTCAGTTTGAATTATCAGTAAAATAGCATCATTTAAAATCTTTACCCAAGAAGAGTTCCTGGTCTAAAATCAAGGTTAGCACATGACTCATGACTGCACGGAGCAAGATTTAAATACAGCAAACAATCAGCTTCTTGAAAATCTAAACTACCTCTCAAAGGCTTAAGGTCATTTTCTGGAGGTATTAATGCTGTAAACCAAGTCATTAAACGTCTCTTTGGAAGTTTTAGAGTTTTCCAGTTTATCACAGAAACAAAAACTTCACCTCTTCAAATGAATCCTTTCTAGCTGTCAGTTTTTCAATGTAATCTAATTAGATTATGCTCCATCATAAGCTCTCGAGTATCTTCTAGATGATTTGGCTTGTCTGAGCCTCCCTCACTTTCATAGAGTTCAGCTGATCATATAAAACCTCAGCATGGTACAGAAAATTTTGTTTTTTTTCCAAGAGATAACAGAAAGAGCAGGGTATAAACATTCTTAATGGGGAAGTTCATTAATTTCAGTTCGTTCTTTTCCTCTGAAATCTTTGTGTGATCACTTTGTATCAGTTTCATAAAGACTAAATATTCTTTGACAGTTTAACAGCCACGCTACTGTAAATCCCCAGTTGCTCCCTTCAAGGATAATCATGTAGCTTTTGTAATTCAAGTTTTCAGGTTGTGGCTTGATGGCTCTGATAGGGGTGCGTTGCAGATCTATTGAAATGAAGCATTCACAGCACAGTCATTAATCACCGTCAATGCTTGACACATTTTAAAATTCACAGGAGTGTAAATATCAAAGACTTCATCACAGGCTAAAATTTTCATTATGTTGGCTCAAGTTTTACAATTCTGGGAATGAAAAATCACACCATGGAGAAAAGAAAAACCTTTGCTACCATTTATTTTTCCTTCTTTGAAGCCAAAAGTGACCAAATGGATGCATAACGAGTGGTGAACGCCGCTTATTTCTTCTACTTTTGCACATCTGCAGGTCACAAATGCTCAAAGCCCTAGAAACAAACATTAATCCTGACTCAGATGCCATTGTGCATAATGTCCTACCAGTATCATATCTGATGACACAACATTATGATAACAGGGCAATTTGTCTTTCTCTTCACCCAGAATGCCCCCCAATAGGACTGGAGACATTAAAGATCGATGATTTCCAGCTTCACGCTTCGTCCACAAAACGCTACGGCCTCGGAGCGCACAGAGGTCGCCTAAACATTCAGGTAAGAGTTGCTGTAGCTTTGCCAAGGTTTTGTTTGAACTTGCAAATATACCTTAAGGAGACTTGACTTTGCCTTGGAGGCTTTAACGTTTTCTGGAGTCATTTTTTTCAACATAATGCAAAATGAATGTAATGGAGAAGAGACGGCATCTTTTAGTGTCAGCATCAGCTGCATTATCGTCTTTCAGCACATGTCTTATTTAAACACCCCAAAACAAAGTGTTGCAATCAAACCAGATCACATCATTGGACTTAATAAAAATCTTAAGGAAAAAAGGTATTTCCTGTTAGTCATGATTCAAAGGTTTAAAGCTGCTCACAATCTGCAACAATCCTCATTTTTTCCAGCACGACCTGCTTCTCTTGCACAACAGCAACACATGTTCTTATTGCAGTCAGGAATCCACAAACAGCCAAACAAAAATATGTTGTCTGCTGGATATGAATCCATGTGTGTCCAAATTTAATAACCAGAGGAAGACATGGACCCTCTCTGGAAAAATACAGAAACAACAGGTGGATTTGTTGACTCAAGTCATTTTGTTCAATGTTTTTTGCTCATTTTACTTTTGGGAGACAGTGGCGTGTCCGGATCTTTTAAAATGGGGTGGTCCAGTTGAGGCACTACTTTGCGCATGGGTGGCACCAATGGTTATGCTTTTATTTTATTTTTTTTACCCCAAGCCTTTTGTGGACAAAGCCTATTTAAAGGGAATTCAGTGTGGTGGCACCTGGGGTGGCCAGTCAGATTTCAAGAGTGGCATTTGCTACCCCAGGCCACTCCTTGGACACACCCCTGTTGGGAGAAGCTCAGTTCTAGGAGAACTATATTCATATCAAGATACAGCAGAGAAAACACCAACAACCTCAACAACATGCATTGTTTACTGAAATTACATAAAATAAATCCAAAAATACAACAGCAATCCCAAATATAAGGCTTTTCCAGAGGGATTCAATTCAATTCAATTTAGTTCATTTACATAGCGCTAAATCTTAACAAGAGTCGTCTCAAGGCACATCACAAAGTAAATATTCCAATACATTTCAGTTTATTAAGCCAATTAGTAAAACACTTCTAAATAAGGAATCCAGCAAATTGCATCGAGTCACTGACAGGTGTCACTAGCCACGTTTGCATATGCCAAATTTCCCCCATCCGATTTAAATCTTGGTGGATAGGAGATACCAAATCTCTGTATGGACACTAACTGAAATGATCCAATCATGTCGTGAGTAAACATGCACCAAGCATTCAGTTAGATTAAATAGGCTGAGCATGCACAGAGTTGTCTTTCCTGGGAAAACATCGTAAACAAACACCATACTTGTCCGCACGTCTTTCCTCTCGCATTTTATTTTCCTATTCTCTAGCTTTGTCCATTGACTTATGTTTTTTTGCTCGTAAAGGACATTCTTTGCATTTTTACTTGTATGCTTTTGTTTTTACTGATCTCTTTAACTAAGCTACAGGTTTAGTAGTAACACTGCTGCTCCTCTGCAGGAGAGGAGAGCAGGATAACTTCTGTTTACCTCCCGCCATATTTTCCACATGTCCTGGGCGGCAAAAGCGTAAAGACGGCAAGCCAAAATTGCACACATGCGCAGTGGGCATTATTTTACTCCAAGAATCTGAATGAGTGTGTACATGGACGTGTAACCGGATTACAGGATACAATAAGATAATTAAAAGAAAAAATAAACAAATGGGCCAATAATTAGGTTCGGGGAGAATTGGAGGTTGTTTAAGAATGACTGGAGTCACAGGTATAGCATGAAACGGTTTATATACTAAATTTTAATAATAATGGGAAATATAACACATAAAGATAACACACAAAAACAGATGAAAACAATCGACAATAGTAAATTGGTCGGTATGAGATTTGATCATATGAGTCACAAGTCAGCCGGCGTCAAGTCAAATCCCCACGCTTGGGGTGAAAGTCAGAGTCCGGTGGTGCGATTTTTTCCTACCACACCGTTGAGATTGTTCACAGAAGAGAGCAGTCTGCTCTTCAGTTACTTGAGATGTCCTGGTTCATTCAGTGGTTAAGGCTCGCCATCTCCCTCGTCAGGAAGAAATCCAGTTCTCGTTCCAAGTGAGTGATCATAGGAGTCGGGATCAAACCCAAGGGAAAAAAAAAAAAAAAACCCAGCCAACGCGCTCCAACGGTTCCCTCCTACAGAGGATTGGTTCACTCTGTCGTCTCCACACAAATCGCGTTGGTTCCAAGTTCCTAGCTCTTATTAGAAGGAGTCAAGTCCGCCTCTCCCTCTATCTATGCGGCACCCAAATCAGGGTTCTTCACGGCCTCGACCGTTGTTTTTTTTCTCTCTCTCTCTCTCTCTAACCGCTCAGTCTTTGCTTTCTGTATCTGCGTGCTGCACAGCCGTTTGTCTCTCCTCTCGCTCAGCTGCGTCGCACGGTTTTATTTCGCGGAGGCGGGACTTATTTCTCTCAGCCAATGAAATTTCAGATTCCCACCTGGACCAATAGTATACAGCTTTCCTCTTCTGTTTCTGTTAGTGATGTTCAAGATTCTTGTTTTAACCGATGTTTAATATTAAACTCGTTATTTTAGTTATTCACCCTTCCAATAATTCATTATGAAATTATCTATTAGTTAATTAGATATCTATTAATTAGTATTGTTAATTTCCTTAATTTATATTTTATATTTTATCTAAATTGAGGATGGATCATATTAGTAAGCCAATTAGTTAATACCTCATTAAGGTTCTAGCTTCTGGGTTACATCCTCCCCCATTAAATATCATGCACGTCCCTGTGCATTGTTTCTACGGGGTACACAACTTCTTGAGTAAGAGAGTCAATAAAAGCTTTATTAAGTCCTTGGAAAAGGGACCTAACTACGGTCACTAGTGGATTGCCCAATTGAGAGTAAGTTAGTCTTTGAGGAGGCTGACTACTTCGTTCAGATCTCCTGACATACATCTCTGGTTGCACAGTATCATGCTCATCCGTTTCGGTTTGATTCTCAACTGAGACAGGACGAAGTGAGCTCTCTGTTTCCGACAGAGCTGATGAGCTATTCTCTAAGACTTTGGTCTTTTCAGATGTATGTGTCTGATCGTGTATGATGGGTTCAAAACTTACATCACGTTGCTGCGACTTTAGGACACCATCCAATTGAGGTAGGTTTGTGTTAGTTTCATCCCCCGTTTCTACGTCAGGTAAGTATACTTCGTTTTTTTTCGTTTTTTCAGGTAAGTATGTTGCTGCTTCTTTCACTCTTTCAGGTAAGAATGTCGCAGTTTCACTCATTCTGTCAGGTAAGAATGTTTCGGTGTTGATGCCTTTGTCAAGTAAGGACAATTCAGCATTTTCATTACCAGCTAAGGTTGGTTCCTTGCGATCCCCTGTGTGTAAGGATAGTGTGTTTTGTTGTTGAATATTATTTACCGGTCCTGAATCTGCTATGAGTTCCCTATTTGGCAAGGTGACCGCTATTTGATAGGATGGTCGGTTTAGCACTTGTGGAAGATCAGAGTAATAAAACTCATCTACCTCTTCGTCAAGTGGCTCATCTGGGTCAGGTTCTAAGGCTGAACTCTGTCTTGTATGAGGTCTGCTAGGTTTCGTAACGCGTTCTGTTTCATTTTCTAATGAAGAGAGAAAACCACAAGGCAGTAAAAGATCTCTGTGGAGTGTTCTGTTGGGTCCTTCTCCGTTCTCTGGTTTTACAGTGTATACTGGCAAGTTTTCCATCTGTTTGAGAACTATATACACTGTTTGCTCCCATTTGTCTGCTAATTTATGCTTTTCTCTTAAACGAAGATTTCGGACTAAAACACGATCTCCCACACCTAGTGTGGACTCACGAATGTTTCTGTCGAACCGTTCTTTGTTCTTCCTCGCTGTTTTTTGAGAGTTTTTTATGACAATGTCATAACTCTGTTCCAGATGACTCTTCAGTTCTTTAACATACTGAGAATGAGTTATAGAGGGCTTGTTCAAATGCGGTAACCCAAAGGCAATATCTATAGGCAACCGAGGCTGCCTACCGAACATTAGCTCGTAGGGAGAGTATCCCGTCACGTCATTTTTTGTACAATTGTACGAGTGAGTAAGTGGTTTTACAAAATCGCGCCAGTGATGTTTCTCAGTGGCTTGTAAAGTTCCCAACATGCTGAGTAATGTACGATTGTACCGTTCAACGGGGTTGCCACGAGGGTGATAAGGGCTCGTTCTGACTTTACGGATACCAAGTAAAGAACAAAGTTCCTTGATTGTACGTGATTCGAAATCCCGTCCCTGATCACTATGAAGACGCTCAGGAAACCCGTAGTGGACTAAAAAATGTTCCCACAGGTTCTTCGCGACGGTGGTGGCTTTCTGATCTTTGGTTGGGATGGACACTGCATACTTTGTAAAATGGTCTGTAATCACTAAGACATCTTTAGTGTTCTTACTGTCTGGTTCTATGGAGAGAAAATCCATGCAAACTAACTCCATAGGTCTGGTGGTGGTAATACTCACCATTGGAGCAGCTTTGTCAGGGAGGGCCTTCCGACGGATACATCTTTCGCAAGTTTTAACTTTGATTTCGATATCACTAGCCATTCTTGGCCAGTAAAAACGGGACCGAATGAGATCTGTCGTACGTTCAACCCCAAGATGCCCCATATCATCATGTAGGCTTTGCATGACTGTTGAACGTAATGAATCAGGCAAGACTAACTGCAATGATGTCTCTGGTCCTAATTGGCGTCTCCGGTACAGTAAATCATTTTGAAACTCAAACCGTTTCCACTCTCTCAAAAGGTTAAGAACCACCGGGGGTTCTGCAATAGTATCAGTTGGCGGTTTATTGTCAGTCATAAGCAGCTGAATGACTCGGCCAATGGTTGGATCTTTCCTCTGCAAGGAGACAAGGTCAGCATGGTTATACTTGGGCACAGCAAAGAAACTGTCACTATTGTCTTCCAACTGGAATAGGTCCTGAATGGCCGCTGCAGACATGGCAAGTGACTGAA